CATTCTAATCCGATGCAACTACATCAGCGTTCCTATTGTAGATATTGAACTTATTATGAATACAATGAACAGAGATCATTCTATCGCTTATAACTCGATTGCTTTTTGAGTTTTCTAAAAGATATTCTTTCACCAATAGGTAGATAAACCATATATCTAATTAGTCATTAAATTGAGTTTATTTGTTCACTGTTTTGTTAAGATACTAAAGAGGAAATATAAGCATATAAAAATCCCATTCTAATTAGGAACATGCACTCTATATGTCCATTTTGAAGATGAATAGCCCAATTTTCTCGATTAAAATGAATCACTAGCAACTGTCATATTCATATTTTTGATCTAAATACAATAATATAGATTTTATGAGTTCTCATTCTCTTAATGAAGTCATCATAATATGAATCACTTGAATATATTTTTGTATAATAAAAAGAAAAGACGCATTTATATATTATTTCAATCGAAATAAAAGAAGTTTAAACAGTTGTTTTTGTTTTTTTTGTTATTGTGAAATGCAATCTCCTGTTTTGTTTTTCTCTTATCAGTGATTAATATGCCATAACAATAACAGAGAACTACTTTTTCCATTATTTCTTTTGATAACATAGACAATTTCTACAAATTGTAATGGATGGTTTAAATGCAAAAAGTCAAGAGGAGACTCAAGAAGAAATTATGCCACTACGAACATTTAGTTCTCGACGTCAACATCAAAAATTACAGTTTGCAGAAGAAAAAGAACAACAAGAAAAATCACCGTCATCTTTGAAATCTTCTATACGAACTACTCGTCTTTTATCAATTTATGATCCATCTCTTCAATTGCCAGGTGCAAAACTCTTGCAATTACAACAATTACATAATCAATTTACACAGAATAATGATTTATCAATCTCAGAAGAAATAACTGATGAACTACTTGATAAAATACCATTCAAGTATGATTAATATTTAATCAAATGAAAACAAAAAAATAATAAATTCTTTTTATTCGAAAATTAGAATTGAAATAATTCCTGAACGACGAGATGATTTTATTGAACAAGAAAGTTCATTAACAAAAAATCGTCGACATCATAAAGAACCTTTGGAAATACCAAAAGTTATACCAAGTGGTTTAAGTGAAGAACGTCGTCTAGAAATAATTGAAGAAATTCTTAAAAATTTAAATAAAAAAAATCTACTTGATGATATTCGTCGAGCAGATGCCATACCATTTCGATTACCAAAGTGAAAAATTATTATTGTAATAAGAAATTATTGTTGGTTTTTTTTAATAGAAATAATCAACTACAAAAAAAGGTAGCTGAACGTATTCGTGATTTAACTGGAAGCGAAATAGTTATGCTTAATGATCATGTTTATATGAAAAATTTATGTCAACGTACTGATGAAGAATATAAAGTACAATATTTATCTTTTTTAATAATATATATATATATGATTGTTTGTATGTTTAGAAAGAACTTGAAGAAAAATTAAAACGACTTGAATCAAATGAAAAACGTCGATTATTATTTGAAAATATTTTTTCAATTTGAATTTAACATTTATCTATTGAATAGATAGATTGATTGAATAGTTAATTTATTCAAACAAAGAAAATTGAATAAATTCATAATAACAGTTTGTTTTTTTTTTGTTGAATCCCGCATCATGGTGTGTTTGTAACCAATATTCACGCAATAAACAGCATTCTAGAAAAAAAATCTTGTATTACTTGTAGGATTATATTATTGTAATGATGCATAAAAATGTTATTATTTTCTCAATGTATTCTTGAAGTATGTTGGTAAAATTTTTCAACAAATGCCAAATAATAAGACATCTGTTCTTGAATATATCGATTAATTATTTTTTTATTCAATGAATATCAACTATGGACACTTGTGTGCCACAGATGACAAAGAAAACTCAAATGAATCAATTATTATATATATATATATATATTGAATTTTGTCCGAGAGAGTTACTTTTTTGAGTAAGTTATTATCGTGCATAAAGTATAATCTTATTACATAATGAAATAGATCGATGAGTAACAGAATATTAGAAGATAAAATAGATTTATTAAAACATAATAAAAACAGATCTGAATTATATAAATATGTTGATTGACAGAAATAAATTTAGATTGATTAAAACACAATAAAAAAAACAAAACTAAATTATGTAAATATGTCGATTGACAGAAATAAAGTTAGATAAATCATCTGTCTTTTTCTGTCATCAATTGAATATCTATCTATTCTGTCATATGATAATCAATCAATATATGATGTAAAATTATGTAAAAGGTTTTTTTCAATATTCAAAATAGTTTCGTAAATATTTTGTTTTACTTTTATGAATCATTAATTGCACGGAAAGACATTGAAAAATATTGTTTTTCGTCCTTGTTTTCATTGATTTATCAATAGTTATGAAAACAAAGCCTAAATTTGATATTTCATGATACACATAGCTCAAGGTATTTAACGTATTTTTTTATTGATGCCAATATATGATCATATACAAATATGATGAGTATTATCATTATATTTCAAGGTGCAAATATCAAAAACGAAATCGGATCTCTGTCTGATTTACTTGCGTAGGAAAAAGAGGAAGAAGAAGAAGTATAAAATCTGGTTTTTTCAATAATCAAAATATTTCTTTCGAGTAAAATAAAAACCAAAAAATAAAGCAAGTAAAAAAACATGTATTGTATAATTTCTTTAATATTAATAAGTTTTACATGGATGAAAAGTTCCTTAGCAGGTTAATATAATGATAATCTTTTAGTTAATTTAATTTTTGAATTCTTTACACATAGTTCAATGTGATACAAATCCTTGTGAATTAGGTGGGAATTTTTTACCACCTAATTATCAATGTCTTCAAATAACAGACAATTTTAATGATGTTATTTGTACATGTCCTGATGGTCATGTAGAAACGAATACTCGTTGTCGTAAGTATATTGTTTAATAAGATTTTAAATTTATTATAATTTAACTAATTATTATAGGCATTTGTGATAAGATTAATTGTGGTCCAAATGGTATTTGTATCGAGAGATCATTTTTTGAAAATTTACATTATACTTGTGGTTGTACCAATGGTACAGTTAATTATCTTAATCCTGGGCCATGTCCAAGTAAGAAAGAATAACATATAGTTTTAATTCAGTGGTGATCCGATTGAAAATGTAACATTCTCCTTAATCATGGAAAATTTTTATTTTTTCTCAATTAGACGCAAGATATTCTTCCTTTGAGAAGAAAAATCATGACACTTCTCCTCTCCCAATGTTGACTGTTTCGAACCACCACTGTTTTAATGCAGTTTCTATAAGAGATAAAATAATTGTAAGAAATAACTAAGTATAATTGGTAAATATCTATATAAACATAGACACTTATCCAGTAACAACAACGCCATCATCTGTTATTTGTCTTAACGGTGGTAGGCAAAAAGAACATGATTTCTATAATATACTCACTTTTCCTATTGACATAATTAGGTACTTATAATACGGCAACAGGAACATGTGTTTGTCCAGCTAGTTTTACAGGCCTTTACTGTGAACAATCAATTGGTAGGATTGCACTCACTATCAGTATTTATCTAAATGGAATTAATTTTCTAGTTGAACCAATAAATTGTCAAAAGGTGGTATGTGCTAATGGTGGTGTTTGTAATCCAGTACAAACAATTGAAAATGGAGTCGATATACAATGTTCATGTTTAAATGGTATTAAAATTTTGAATTTAGGGGACAAAAAATAAATAAATAACGCATTCTTTTTGTTTTTGTTCTCAATAGGTTTCGCTGGTAGGAATTGTGAATTAGTCGGTAAGAAAGAAAAAAGAGAAAGATTTTCCTTTTGAAATTTATTGAAAAAAAAAATTTTATTTCGTTTTAGGCGTATCTGGTGGATGTACAGCTGTCATATGTAACAATGGTGGTACCTGCGAAGAAAGAGTCAATGGCGCAGCAACTTTTGCTTATTGTCGATGTCCATCTGGTATTAGTGGTCAACGTTGTGAAACGTGTGAGTAGACAAAAAAAAATCAATAATAAAATTATAGAAAAAAAAATCAACGTTTTATTTTAATTCTATTATAGCATATTTTTCATGTCCAGCTCCAGGTATATATGCTGATCCAATCAATTGTAAATTTGGTCGATATTTTCAATGTATTGGTTTAACTCTATCAACACTTTCATGTCCCAGAGGTCTTCGATATAATTTTATGAAGATGAGATGTGATTCAGATGTTTCCTGTCCACCATAATACAAAAAAAACAACAAACTGATAAGATAACATTCATAATGAAATAAAAATAATGTCTTTGTAGTTGCTCGTAATTTTCTTTCTTTTTTTTGCCTGTCTCAATAATGAGAATTGATTGGAGACAATTTGACATGATTATATATAATTATGAAATATTCAACATAAATCTATTATTATTCATTTTTGAAGGAAAACCTTAAAGGTTTGTGTCTTATTTTGTATGGAAATATATATGATTGAATTATAGATAAGTGCTATTTATTTTCCACGGTTATTTTCTTGCATATATGTCCTTGTTGTGAATGGAATAAATGGAAGAAAAAAGAAGAAGAATCCAATACATTTAATATAGAAATATGACCTAGGCAACAAGAGATGATATCATGGTATCTTCTTCTTCTAATTCTTCTCCTTCTTGTTCTTGTTCTGTTAGCTCTTACAGATCCATTTGTGTTTTCTTCTGTTGGCAGTCTAGTAGAGTAATTGTTGTTCTTTCTTTCCACTTTGTGCATTGAAGGAGAAAAGACCGGTGTCGAGTTGTTGTTGTTTCTGATGTTTCTGCTATAGTTTTGCCATCGTATAAGCATATTAATAAGGCGCGGGAGGGGAATAGCGGTTATTCTGAAAGCATTACTACTGGGCGCGAATGGCTGTATGATTCCACCAAATGATGCCTATGCATTATTACCAATAAAGAGAGGGAGGTCTCTTTCCTTCGTCTATCGCTTCGTATATCTTTCTTTTTTATTCTAAGTATGGTTCTTTTCACAATGCATTCATGTTGTAGACAGCTGCCAACAAGATTCAAGCTATTATAGAAATTGTCTAATATTTAGCTAATGCTCATAGGTTTGTCATAGTTATTATTTTTATTTAGTGATTGAAAAGACAAAAAAAAGGAGGGGGGAGGGACCAAAGACTAACATAAAAAAAGAGTTTGACATGCATATAAACAAAACAAAAAAAATTCTATTTTTTCCATTTAGACTTTATACGAAATTAGAATAATATTAATTGACTTTCTCTTTGATTTGTTTTTGCAGAAGAAAATAATACGACAAAAAAAAACCTATTTAATATCTATTATTTTGTATATATTATATCTTAGACAGCATTTTTTTTTGTTTTGTGTCTCTATTCTTTTATTTAGTAAATAACGTTTTAATATTTATTAATGGATATCAATAACAGTAATATGTCGATTAGTAAAACAAATCTAGCTGAATCATGTTCAGGCGAACGATACTGGTTTGCTTTTCTTTTGTCAAGTCTGGCAACATTTCTTATTGGTGTTATTGCTATTCTCCTTTGGCGTTGTGGTGCTTTAATTTATAAACGCGGACCAACAATAAGACATCGATCACTACGATTAGTATCAAATGCTGATAAACAAGAAATATCGTATTCATTTGATGCAATTAATGAACGTAATTGGGCAACAATAATCAAAGAATATGCAGCTAAATTAATATCTGGTCAACAACTGCCTGGAAAAATTCTTGTATATATTATAGAAACAAACAAAATGATTGATTTATCAGATATCTGTTCTAGGTTATCGCTGTGGTTGTCTTAAGTTTAGCTTCGTTATTTATTTATTTCTATGATGTAAACACACAGTAAGAAAAAATAAATCAAAAAAATATATAGATTTATGTGATTTGTATATTTTCTTTTCCTTTTTTTTTTTGTCCTTTATAGACCAATTGAATCATGTCAATTATGGTCACAAAGTCCAACACAACAAATTGATTTAGTCTTTAATATTTTTTTTCTTTTCTATTTTTTTCTTCGAGTATGATTTATTTTATTAATTAACGGAAACATTAAAAAATTAATAAAGAAAATAATATTCATCTTATTTTAATAGTTTGTTGCTGCACAAGATAAACTTCGATTTTGGTGTTTGGATATTCATTCATGGGTTGATTATTTTACTATTCCACCATCATTTACTGCTATTGTTCTAGGACGAAATTGGATTGGTATGTAAAAATTCTATTCTATAACATACTAACTATTTTAATAGGAATGCGATTCTTTCGTATTGCACGTATTATGAATATTCCTGACATACTTCAATTTTTACATGTACTTCGTAGCAGTAATTCAATTCGATTAACACGTGTATTATGTCTTCTTCTTACTGTATGGTTATCAGCAGCTGGATTTGTTCATTTGGTATTATTATTGTTTTTTTTTATTGAACAAAAAAATAAATAAATGCAAGATGATTTTTATATGAAATATATTATAGGTGGAAAATTCAGGCGATTTCTTTCAAAATTATTCAAATTCACAAACAATAACTTATTTTCAATGTGTCTATTTTCTTATCGTCACAATAAGGTAAGAATAATGATAAGTAAATAGTTCGAACCTATCAAATATCCTTATTCTATGAGAATGATACTAGAGATTGAGATTCATTAACATTTACATTAGTAGAATGAGAAACAAGAAAAGTTTTTTTCTGTTCTTTTATTGTGTCATATGCTTGATCTTCCACTTGTTCTATTCTCTATGTCTGATTTAGTTAATATATTCCACATTTTCTGCTTCATCTGAAAATCAGACTATTTTTCTCTTCAAAAATAACAAATGAATTCTTTCTCATATGTTCTATTTTTATTATGTTATTTGAGTTGTATAGAATTAAATTTTCTATGAAAAGAATTTCTATTTAGTTCTGTATAAATTGATTAATTAATGCACTGCAAAACAGAACATTTCTATAGTTCTGTCGTGTACTCATTCGATCTCCATACCTTGCATGTTTTTCACGATAACAAAATCTGTATTTTTGTCTCACGATGATCTAGGAAATGGCGAGTCGCTAGAAGCTCGTTTGAACTTTGTCAAAGAGATCGATGTCTAGAGATGCTACAAACATTTTTGAAATTTCAATATAGATTTTCGTTTTCTCCTAGCTGTGCTATGAGTAGGAAGAACATTGAAAACCTTTGACAGGACAAGATCAGCTCTAGATAAAATCATTCTTATGTTAATTCAAACTTCATTAACAGAATTGAAGATTGCTTCGCATCAAATTTATGTAGTCCTTTGGGAGTTTTCTGTTTTTTTTTTTCATTTACTAGACGTACATATCCAAAGTTATCATGATTGATCACGATGATTTCGAAGACAAAAAGTCAAAAAATACTGATTCAAACGTGACGATGAAATTTCATGATCGAATCTATACTATTTTTTTTCTGATCTTCAACAGAATGTTTCATTTTCTTACAGAAAGCCAAACAGAAAAAAACAACATTTTTATAGACTTAGTTTTTTTTTAACCTTCAAGATAATTAGAACGATGACAAGTTGATTTTATTTAACAAAACTGTATGGAAAGTTGATAATAGATAATTAATCATATGGATAATTAAGCGATAAATGCACAATGTTCTAGAAAAATATGTTGGTACACATTGATAGAATTCTCGTAGTATCTCAATATCACCATCAAAACGTAGAAAATTCCAGTTTTTGATAAGAGTAAAACGAAAGGAACTCGTCACTGTGAACTGTTGTGTAATAAATGATAGAAATTATTATTGGTTTTTTTATAAGATATCGTAATGATCGACATTCGTAGCTTTGTAGTCGAGTGAAAGTTGAATGTCATCCAGTTTTATTGAGAATTTTTATATTTTCTAGTTAATTGAAAATAATCATTAAATGTCATGACTAATCTTGATAATTATATTAATCTCGAGAAAAATAACAAAGTTCAAATTGTTTTTCTATTAAATAAAAAATCTTTTTTGATATAAAAATAAAAGTAGTTTTTAATTCTTTGCTTTTCTTCATTATATATATATATATATTTGTTATTTTTTCAGCACTGTCGGCTACGGCGATTACCAATTGAAAACAGTTCGTATTAGTTAGTACAAATGAATGTCTGTGCGTGTGTGAATGTGATTGTATATGTTACCGACAATAATAAAATTTAGAACAATTTAAAATTTCTCAAAAACAAATTAAAATTTTTGATTTTTCCTATAAATCAATTCTAAATTCTTCTAAATAATAAATAAATATACGTTTATATCTGTTCCTTTTTAGGAAAACATAATGTAAATAATATCAGAATTTTGTCCTTGATATCCAGAGAAATAGAGAAGAAGCTATTAGAATCTCTTGTTTTTTTCGAGATGAATGGGATTTATCTTATAATAGTATACATAAGATATTCCAATGGGATTAGAAAAGTACTATAGATTAAAAGAGCTAGTTCTTATGGTCAATTAGATCTTCTGCTCGTTGAATTCATTTTGCATCTTTGCTTTTACTCGTATTCTTTCCATTTGATGATAAAATTAGTATTAAAAGGTTTTTTTTTAATCTTATAAAATAAACTTCCGAAACAAATACTTCATTGATTCTATACGGCTTTGTTTTTATATTTTTGCAATTAAAATTAAATAGCAGAGGTGATTTATCAAGAATATATCTCGCATATTTCTCAACAGTCTTTCACTATAATGGAATAATCTTTTTGATTGATTCTTCGTTAGATTCTACATAAATTTACATCTTTCACTTAAATGGAACGACATGCTTTATGTATTTAGATACAATGTAACGAATAGATTTAACAAACTTTTTGCATTAGATTTTGTGAGTGATTTTATCAATCTTTCTTTTAATCCTACAAGATTTCGATCAATTATCAGTTCGAAATTAGTTTTAATGAAGTCTTTAGAAGGATCAAAGGCTTAATTATTATTGTTAATCAATAAGATAGAAATTACCATAATTTCTTTACGACTTTGTATATATGATCATAGTTGGTATTCTTGTACTTTTTGTATCCATAGAAGAACACATTAGTTTTTTGAAAAACAAACTCGGGATATTTTTTCTAGATGCGAAAGACGATCAATATTCTTTTATAGATAACCAGAAACGAAAGAATGTCTAAGATGATCATATGCACAAAGGTTCAAAAGAGGTGTGCCAATTGCTATCTTATTGACTCACAATAATAGTTAAGTCTTCGATCCTTCTGTAGTAATTCATTAGAGTTAATTTTGAGTTTATAATAGATTGAAATATTGTATAATTAAAAGAAAATATTCGTTTCATCGGGCCTAAACAAAAAAGATATTCTATTCTATTTAAGTACAAGATAAAAATTTGTGAAGCGTCGAACGAAGAATCAATCAAAAAAAAGTTATCTCGTTATGTCGAAAGGCTGTTGAAAAATATGCAAAGTACTGATAGATGTATTCTCTAGGGACTATCCGTTATTTTCTAAAAATAATATAATAATATTTATATTTATACAGAATATTTATAAACAGAAATAAATGTATGTTTATTATTATTTTAAAAAAAAAATTTTAAATTGTTCTAAAATTTTAATTACTCTCGGTACCATATACATAATTATAATTTCCTTTTAGGTATCTTCTACAACCGATGTATAATTATGTATTTGTTTTCTGTAGACGATCGGTCAATGTTTTATAATATTCTTCATAACTGGTGGTCTCACATTATTTGCTCGTGCTATACCAGAATTAGCAGAAATGTTATCAAATAAAAAAAAATATGCCGGAAATTATAGATTAGAAAATGGCAAAAAGTAGGCAAATTATATTCTAATAGAATTCTTATTTATATACAAAAAAAAAATTACATTAAAATTTCAGGTTTGTTCTTGTTTGTGGTCATATTACATTTACATCAATGGAAAATTTTCTTAAAGATTTTTTACATGAAGATCGTGTTAGTTCAGATAGTTTTTATGATGCTGATGTACTTATTGTTGATAAGTAATGAAAGATAAAAAAAATGTTATTTGTAGTTATTTATTATTCTCATATATGTGTATATATATATATCTATAGAAAACATACAGTTGATTTTGAATTTCAAGCATTACTTAAACGTCATTTTACACGTGTAAAATATTTTGATGCTACTGTGATGGATCCTGTTGATTTGGAACGAGTTAAAGTAATCAATTAGATTTTATTATAATTTTCAAAAATAAAAAAACAAGATTTCATTTAAAAAAAAATAAACTAGTTAAAACGATCTGCAGCTGTTTTAATCTTAGCAAATAAAGATGCTATTGATCCTGATGGTGAAGATGCAAGTAATATTATGCGTGTAATTAGTATTAAAAATTATCATTCGGAAGCAAAAATAATTGTTCAACTTTTACAATATCATAATAAAGTATTAATAAAAA